GCTCCCAGCCCGGCCCGGCGGCGCCCTTGCCCGGCTCCAGCATCCGCTGCGCTCTGCTGGAGCGCTGTTCAAGTTCCTTCTGCAGGGACGATTGAGGGGCGCCAGGCGATGCGTCGAGCTGTCCGAGCCTCCTCATGCTGAGGTACCGACGGCCGGCGCGGCGCACTGCAGAGCCCTGGTCAGGGCATCTGCTTTTGGCCTTGCGCGGATGCTGTGCCTTGGCCTTCTCTGAGCTGTCTGAGGCCCCGACAAGTCCTGTGGAGTAGACCTGGGCGGCTCTCGGGCACATCTTTTTGCTGTACTGCAGCCCTCGAGCCCAGAAGCCCGTCGCGTGCTTACTTCTGCCCTGCACCCTGAGGACGGAATGTGACAGACCCTCAGCCTGGACTGGCAACTCCGCTTCCTTTCTCGTGAAGGGTTATCCGTGGCCCTGGGTGGCTCTTGGGTCTCTGAAACGTACGAATGTCTACCTGAGCAGTGGCTACCCCCAGAGATGCCCCTTTGTTCCAGGGCTGAACCTTATGAGTGTCCCGCGGGACACGTCTCAGGTCCATGGACAGAATCCAGGGATCAGTGACAGAGGTGGAGTTCTCACTGACCCTGCGCGACAGGTTCAGAACACAGGCTTGGCCCTCGAGCTGCTGGGAGCGCGGACTGAATTCATCATTAGACTTCGGTGCTCCCGCTCCTCACTTGCCAGCCCAGTCCCCGGAGCCCACCGGCAGAAAGCGTCTTGGACAGACCCGGAAACAGCCTAGGCCTTTCTCCCAGGACCGGATCATCACCTGGGGCTCAGAAAGGGAGGAGCCAACACCAGACAAGCGCTTTTGAGGATTCTTTTTCCAAAACCCGACTGACTGATGGTGCTGCAAAACGCGGTGCCTTTGGGCAGACTCTTCCGAAGGCAAGAACTCGTTTCAGGGTTTTGGAATATATCGTGGATTAGTTTGGGGTAGCTACTTTCTGTCTGATTAATACCCTACAAATAACAATCTAGGTCAATATAGGTATTGGGATTTGACCCCAAGGCCTTCCCACTGAGCTAAATCCTCAGCCCTTTTTTATTTTTAAATTTTGAGACAGAATCCCCCTAATTCGTTAAATTGCCCAGGATGGGCTCAAACTTTCCATCCTCCTGCTTTGGCCTCCCAGAATACTAGGGTTACAAGCATGTGCCGCAAAGACCAGTTGATGTATGTTTATTTTTGAAAAACCAAAGTTGCCCTAATGAAATTCAATATTTGAGAATATCTTAACTGTCCAGCTCAGGCAGAACTATTAAATTATAAAGTTTTCCTTCATACAAATTTAGAAGCTGAAAGGGCCTCTCAGAGGGCTCCTGGCTGGCTAGGCTTCGTTTGTGTGGGGGACCAGCTCTTCTATATTCATAGACTGATGGCTCCTTTATAATGTAGTAAAAATGCTCTGAGTGGATTGAAGATAGCTACATCATTAAAACACTTTCTTTGAAGGCCCCTCTCTGGGGCTATTTATATGTGGTGGTTTCCTATTGCTATTGAATTTTGTGTATTGATTTTGTATCCTGCTACCTTTTTTTTTTTTTTTTTTTTTTTTTCCTGGGGTTTTTTTTTTTTTTTTTTTTTTTTTTTTACCGGGGTTTGAACTCAGGACCTTGAGTTTGCAAGGCGGGCAGCAGCACCACTGAGCTGAATCCCTGGTGTTGTATCCTGCTACTTTGTTGAATTTGTTTTTTGGTTTTAGGAGTTTTTTAGTGGGTCTTTTTGGGTCTTCTAGGTAAAAGATCATGTCATCTGCAAATAAAGACAGTTTGACTTTTTCCTTTGTTATACAGGTCCGTTTATTTTTTTCTCTTGCCTAAGTAGAACTAGGCAGTACTACTAGTAGTATATTGAGCATGAGTGGTGAGAGTGGATACCCTTATCATGGTCTTGATTTTAAAGAAAATACTTTATGGGGTTTTCCCCATTTAGTGTGATGTTGGCAGTGAGTTTGTCATGAATAATGTTTATCAGTTTGAGGTAAGGTCTTTCTCTACATATTTTTGTCATGGTTTTTATCATGAATTTTGTTAAAAGCTTTTTCTGTACCTGTTGAAATGATCATGTAATCTTTGTCCTTACCTCTGTTTATGTAATGTATTACATTTATTGAGCTACATTAAACCATTCTTGCATCTCTGAGAAGAAGCCAATTTGGCCATGATATCTAACCTTTATAGTGATTTCTTGCATTCGGTTTGCCAGTATCTTGTTGAAAATTGTTTCATCCATGTTCTTTAAGAAGACTGGCCTGTAGTTTCTTTTTTTCTCTCTCTTTCTTTTTTCTTTCTTTTTTTTTTTTTTTTTTTTTTTTTTGTACTGGGGATAGAACTCCAGTCCTTGTGCTTGTAAGGCAGGCAGCAGAACCACTGAGGTAAATCCCCTGCCTTCTTTCTTTCTTTTGTTTTGTTAATTCCTTGTCCAATTTTGGTACCAAGGTGATGCTATCTATCTTCTAGGAGTGACTTTGGCAGCACTCCTTCCCTTTCAATTTCTTGGAGGAGTTAGAGAAGTAATGGCATTAGATTTCCCTAAAAATTCTGGTAGAATTCTGTGGCAAACCCCTCAGATCCTGGACTTCTCATTGTTGATAGGGTTTTTATTTTGCCTCTATATGATTGCCTGTTACTGGTCTATTCCAGATTTTTATACCTCCTTGGTTCAATTTTGATCATTTATATGTGTCTAGGAATTTCTCCATTTATTCTAGGTTCTCCAATTAATGGGAAAATAAGTTTTTTGGGGGAAGGGATGAGACAGGGTCTTTATATATAGTTCAGGCTGTCCTTGAAGTCATTATATAGCCCTGGATAGCCTCAAATTCATGCACCACTATGCCTGGCTCAGGAATACATGTTTCCAAAATACTTTTTTTAGGGCTGGGGATTTAGCTCAGTGGTTCCACTGCCTGCCTCGCAAGCACAAGAACCCGAGTTCAATCCCCGCTACAAACAAACAAAATACTCTTTTTACAATCCTCCTCACAGCAGTGTTAGTTGTGACTAATTGCAATGGTGTAGGTTTTTGGATCAAACAGACATTGGAACCACTGAGATAAATAAATCCCCAGCCCAAATGTTTATTAATCTTGTTTAGTATTTCAAAGAACCAACTCTTTGATTCACTGATCCTTTGTATTTTTTAGTCTCAATTTTATTAATTTCTGCTCTGATCCTTATAATTTCTTACCTTCTGTCAGTTTTAGATTTGGATTGTTCTTCGTCTAGGACCTTGAGCCTCACCATTAAGTTAGTTACTTGGGATCACTCAGTTCTTTTAGTGTATGCATTCACAAACATAAACTTCTCTCATTGCACTTTCATTGTGCCCGCAGGTTTTGGTATGTTGGGCTTCCACTGTCATTGATTCTAGGAACTTTTTTTTTTTTTTTGGTACTAGGGATAGAACACAGGACCTTGTGCTTGTGAGGCAGGCACCACATCACTGAGATAAATCCCTGGCCCCAGATTCTAGGAACATTTTAATTTCTTCCTTTATTTCTTCTGTGATTTATCAATTATTCAATAATGTATCATTTAATTTCCATGTGTTTGTATGGTTTCTAGCCTTTCTTTTTTTTCTCATTGAGTTTATTGGTACATTTTAGGTATTCAGTACATTTACATTCGTCATTGGGATCTTGTACCTTTACATGACAGGTTCTCATTTTTTTCCCCTTACCCCTGCCTTCCATTCACCCCCTCCTCCCTCCCCTATTTACCAAAACTTTATTTCCATTTTCTCATATTTTTTCCCTTATTTCCTTTCCCCTACCCTTTCCACTTCCCCTACACCTTTAGCCCTTTTCTCCCTATTTCACATTGCCAATTATACCATTAGGGTCGTATTTAAGATTATAGTTTTTCACACCAGAGAAACTTTTTGGTATTTACACATGTGTGACTTATTTATCTCACTTAAGAGTATAGTCTCAATATCTAGCCTTTGTTTTGCTGTTGATTTCTAGTTTCATTCCTCTGTGATCTGATAATATGCAGAAAGTTATTTCAATTATTTTGTGCTTATGTAAGCTTATCTTATATCCTAAGATATGGTTTATTTTAGAGAAAGCTCCATCTGATGCTGAAAAAAAATGTGTATTCTGTTCTTGATGGTTGAATTACTCTATAGCAGTCCATTCAGTCCATTAGTCCAATGGTGTGGTTTGACTTTGATATTTTGTGTTGATTTTTTGACTAGTTGACCTGCTTCTGAGAGCATGGAAATGAAGCTCCCCACTATGGCTGTATTGGTGTATATCTGTCATTTTATGTCCAGTAGCTTTTGTTTTATGAAGCTAGATACACCAACATTTGGTGTATAAGTATTTACAATATTTATCTCTTCTTGTTGAATTGTCTGTCCCCTTTACCAGTATTAGTGACCATCTCTGTTCCTTCTGAATAGTTTTGGTTTGAAGTCTGCTGTATCTGAAAATAAGAAAGCTACTCCTGTTTACGCTCAAGTTCCAGGTGCATGAAGTATCATTTTCTAGTCTTTCATTTTTGGTCTGTGAACTTCCTTTTGGATGATGTGTGTCTCTTGTAGGCAATATATGGATGCAGTTTGTTTTTCTTTTTCTTTTTTTTTTTTTTTTTTTTTTTTTTTTTTTTTTGGTTTTTTTGAGAGAGGGTCTCACTATGTAGTGGAGACTGACCTGGAACTCACTATGTAGCCCAGACTGGTCTCAAATTCACAGCGATCCTCCTTCCTCATCCTCCCAGTGCCGGGATTACAGGCATGCACCACCACGCCCAGCTTGGATGCACTTTGTTTTTTATTCAAAATTGC